TACATCTACTATATAAAATATTAATGGCTCACTACATCTTCTATATGAAATATTAATGACTCACTACATCTTCTATATGAAATATTAATGACTCACTACATCTTCTATATAAATTATTAATGACTCACTACATGTACTATATAAAATATTATACCTTATTGAGGACTCTGGTAAGATATCATCACTTTATTTGATTACTGTAGCGTATATTGATGTATAGAAGACATTTTAATAGAAGACATAAAAGACATTATAACACCAAATTGTTTTCTTTTTCAATTGGACACTCAATGTTTCACATTACAGCTTTTTCAGGAGCGTTTGTGTTTTAGTGAAACGCTCCCGAAGAAGCTGTAAAGCAAAACGTTGATTATCCAGTTAAAGAAAAAACAGCAATTTGGTGTTATAAGGTATTTTGTCCCCCAGTCGCACAGCGGTATGTCTGCGGACTTACAATGTTAGAATCCGGGTTTCGATACCCGTGGTGAACAGAGCACAGATAGCCCATCGTGTAGCTTTGTGCTTAATTACAAATAACAATATAAGGTCTTTTATTTCTAGTATTATAAGCCATTATCACACCATCTTATAATGAATCGTAATTACTACTTAATGATCATTGAGATCAATGGTTGCATAGTTCATATTTTATTTACTTAGAATACAATGAAAAGCTTATTTGGTTGTTTATTAGGCCAAAATTATGCTGTTAAAAATGTCGCTTCTCTTAGAAAAACATCAAATCTAGCATATTAAATTAAAAGCAAGATCACGTTTTCTTTTCTTTTTTTTTTTTCAATATAACTTTGATAAATAAGTCTTTTCTTATAATCATTCACTTACCAGCGGTAATATTAATGAACCTGGAAGAAATACGTACAACTTTATGTAATATATTTCAATAAAGCATTATAGAAAACGTTGCATATATGTCTTTATATTACATTACATTGCTCTAGAATCTTATCATTATGACCGTACGTTTACAGCGTAACGTAAACCTACATATCATGCAATGACATGACTATGAGTATCTCCAAACCATTAGGCGAATAGTGATCAATCTTCCTATTCACGAAACGTTCCGGAACTACTTTGGGAGTGAACAAAACTTTATGATGCTGGTAAATCCACCCGGCCATTATATATGTAGATGATTTACATCACGTGAAACATTAATCACGGGGGGGGGGGGGTATGGATAACAGGCAACATTGTATATTTGCTTATTGCTCAATAAAACATTTTCAAAGTGTAAACAAATTACAACGCATTAAATATTAGAAAGAACTACGTTTTTAAAATTCACACAAGTTTTTATCGGTTGTACATAGCAAAATTTTTGGTTATTTTATTCACAACATTTCACCAGCTTTAACTGGCATCATCAGGTGGCACACATGAATTTATAATACCATCTGATGATGCCAGTTAAACCTGGTGAATAAAATAAACAAAAGTTTTTCTACGTACAACCGATAAAAACTTGTATGAAATTAGAACTTTCTGATGTAAGTGTCGTTAGGTCTATGTCACTGATATAAAATTATATATGTTTTGTATGGAAAAAGAAATATGGGAACATTTGTAGATACTTCTCACAGCTATTGCTAAGTGATTCTGTGAGCACTGTGTCCAATTTATGACTAAGCTTATATCCAGTGTGAGATAGGTATATCCGAGATATGTAATATCAACATAATATAGGAAGTTATTGCAACTTCTCTCTCCCAAGCCCTCCAGTAGGCCAGCGATAAGTCTGAGAGCTTATAGCTCTAAAAATCGGGTTTCGATACCAGCGATGGTATAGCGTTGTGTTTAACGGCAAAACCCTCTCCAAAATAGACTAAAAAAATTATTACTATTGTTTAGGATATACGAATAGCGCCGTTAATTGTGTTAAAGATGTATTTCGTTTTCCTTAAACGTAACAAAATATCTTCGTTAACGGTAATAACAAAGGTCCTTTTGTCATAAAGCAGCAATTGTTTTGTTGAGATAGGAGGACTGGCACAAAATGTTTTAGAAGTTCACCTAAAATGTATACTAATTAGTTGCACGTTTATTAAAGATGTTTTATTTTTGTTTGTTTTGTTTTTGGATTCCGCGCAAAGCTACACGAGGGCTATCTGCACTAGCCATCCCTAATTTAGCAGTGTAAGACAAGATGGAAGGCACTTAGTCATCACCACCCACCGGCAACTCTTGGGCTACTATTTTACCAACGAATAGTGGGATTGACCGTCACATTATAACGCTCCCACGGCTGAAAGGGTGAGCATATTTTGGGGTGACGGGGATTCGAACCCGCAGATTGTGAGTTGAGCCCCATAAACACATGGCCATGATTTATTTGTCTGTTTGTAATTAAGCACAAAGCTACACAATGGGCTATCTGTGCTCTGCCCACCACGGGGATCGAAACCCGGATTCTAGCGTTGTAAGTCTGCAGACATACCGCTATGCCACTGGGGGGGGGGCATGGTTTAATAAAGAGGATCATAATATAAATATATAATAACCAATTCGTTTTTAAGGTTAAGAAATAGCCCATTAGGTTCCTATTTTCTCGTACAGAATCATAACGTTTGTTAGTTTTTATTTTAGGCTTGAAGCGAGAGTGATATAGTAATACATTCAAGGAGACTCGCCCTTATTATAGTAACAAGAGTGCTAATTTGTTATCTCGAACCTTTAACACGCAGTTATGATATGATACTGAATAATTATTTGATAATTTTCAGCTGCTCCAGTCAACAACGAGACATCTTTTCCTGGACTCAAAGAAAGACAAGAGCCGAAAACAATGAAGAAAGGAGAGACTACACCAGTGAGTAGAATTTCAAGTAAACTGTATTTCCTTTTTGTTTTGTGATCACGTTTCTCTTGAATAATATAAGTATATAATGATATTCTTGTGCAATAAAACCAAGTGTCCCAAACTTATAATTTTCTCACAAAAATAATCATCACAGGTGGCTTGTTGGAAATAAAATTTATTTTACACAAGTTGTGGGTGGATAGCTTTATCTGTGATTACTCGTGCATTGAATACGTAACGTATTTCTCTCAATCACTCCTATACTTAACTACTCTTCCAATCACTCCTATACTTAATGTACTTCTTCTCAATCACTCCTATATTTAAGGTACTTCTTCCCAATCACTCCTATACTTAACGTACGTCTTCCCAATCACTCCTCTACTTAGCTACTCTTCCCAATCACTCCTATATTTAAGGTACTTCTTCCCAATCACTCCTATACTTAAGGC